GTTCTGGAAAGAGGACTCAATTATCTCGAATCTTGATGAAGAAACCCTCAGCGCTTGGGAAGTGGAAGGTTCCCCGGAGGGCTCATCTTTGCAGTACATTGACACGCTCAGAAAGAGGCTTCTAGACATGTGTCTATTCCGGAAATGTTATCTTCTTGTTCATGGCTTCAAATTGAATGATCTTAAACGCTCTGGAAAGAAGACTCAAATATCTAAAATCTTGATGAAGGACCTGTAGACTGAATCGGTCTGGAAGTGCATCGTCCTTCGCAATCTTTGGAGCTCATCGGGTCAGTCCAAAACGGTAGCGAGATAGGCGTGCCTTCCGGTGAGCTTAACTCTCTACTCACGCCTCCAAATTCTATGATTCCATCTGGTATGGAAACATGATCCAATCTTCTCCACATTTGACGAAGCACCCGACAACTGAATCGGACCGGAAGGTTCCCCGGACAAGCGATCATTCAGGAGTATCAGATTGCTCCGGAATGGATGCGAGAGAGGTCTGTCTTCCAGAGACCGTATCTTTCAGATCAGTGCTCCAAATACCCTGATTCAACCTTTCCTGGGTTCGTGACTCAATTATCTCCAACTTTTTTGAAGACCTTGTAAGCTGAATCGGCCGGAAAGATCTTCCAGTGACGCGATTTTGGAAATGTATCTGCAGCCGGGATTTTTGGCCGAGAGACTTGACCGCGGTACGTGTTTTTGGCCGAGAGAGCTACCCGCGGGAAGGATTTTGGCCGAGAATCTTCGGCCATCAGTACATCATTTTGCCGAGAAACCCAAAATTGCTCCTTTTCACCATTTTTGATAATTTCAAGTCAATTTCTTCATCTGAATCACATCCTCCACTCCAAATAAACTCCAAAAGCACCTGTTTAACACTCCAAAGCATGCAAAACTCTCTTGGACCTAATGCAATCTGCTAAGTCCTAAAACAATGCCTAGAGACCTAAAATGCATGCAAATGAGACATGATTTAGACTAGAATATGTACATTAAATGATGCAATTTATGAATATATCAGGGATCCAATCCAGGTTGTTGGAATCATGCCTGAATGGTGATTCACATGTGCGGGGAGCTTCACACAGGTTGCAAAACTTTCAATCAAGATTAGGGTTTCTTCTTGGATGATTCATGCTTCAAAGAATCTGAAACTAGGGCAAGCAGAAGAAAGAATAAGCAGAAATTAAAAATTTAGGGTGTTTATGAGTTCGGTTTACTTCCTATGGCGTTTAGGCAGAAACTCGACATATATATAGCCTTCTGCGGTTGAACCTTCTTGGGTTAAACCTCCAGCGGCTACAGACTTACCCGGAAACGGTGCCAAAAACTTTGATGGGCATCAGGGTTGCTCGTCTTTGCAAGCCCG